TCTAATAGACAATGGGTTTGAGGAAGGATGTAGTGAATTTCAGTAGAATTCTTTTTAGATTTATTTATTTTATATGTATGGGTATTTAGCTTGTATGTATGTGTACCATATGAATACCTGATGCCTGTGGAGGTCAGGGGCAGAAGAGGACATTGGGTCACCTGGAACTGGGGTTATGGATAGTTGTGAGCTGCCATGTGCATGCTGGGAACTGAACTCGGGTCCTCTGTAAGAGCAGTAAGTGCTCTTTACACCCGAGTCACCTTTCTAGCCCACGCATTTCATTTATTATAGAATAATTTGGGAGACCCAAATGCACAGGCCCAGGAAATAGTTCAGCTTTTGTGAAGCACGGGAAATGCTACGTTATGGAAAGACATACACTAATGAATAATCATAAGAATTAAGGGCAAGAGGTGGTGGAAACATGTTTTTCTAGACACAACATGGGCAGTTGCACATATGAACTCACATTGATTGTGACAGCATGCATGTAACACCTGCCCAAGCTCCAGCCAGCCAGAATCCCAGCAGAGAGGTGGTGAGGTGGGCGTGTAACCCCATCACCAGTTGAGGAGTTATTGGCATCTGATAACTGCTAGGAGAGCAAGAGTCAGTTTTCTTTAATGTTGTGACCTCTGGTAGGTCAACCACACACCAGGGCAGGCCCCGTTCTCAAGAGAGGCTGGGTAACACATGGAGGAAAGAGAGAGAAAGAAACCTCAAAACTGGGTGTTCCTACCAAGATGAGAAGGTGGAGAGGGTGGTTATGGGAGAAGTTGGGAGGGGAGTGAGTGTATTCAAAATACATGATAAGAAATTCTCGAAGAATTAATACACATGTTGTAAAGTTATTGTAAAATTGAAACTAAGACTCTGAATGAATCCTGGTACCAGGGCTGGTTTGGATAGCATGGTACCCGATGCTACAAGGTCCACACTGGGGAATCTGACCCAGAGAGGGAGAGGATCAAAGAGGCTTTTTCTAGAAAGGTATTTCCATAGGAAGGAAGGGTAGGAACCGCCTGCACAAAAACCCAAGGTCTAAGGGACGCTGATGAGGAAGGAGTAGCCAAGGAGGTCAGTGTGGGTAGAGACAGAGAAAAGGAATGTGCTATTGGGATGGAGAGGGACATAGAGCAACCTAATTCCTGTGTCTCATATAGGAGGTGATTGGAAATGCTAACCACACCAACAGTCAACACTTGGTCTTTGGAGGGGTAGGTTCCACTTCTGTGGAGTTTGGTGATTTTTGTAAAAATATATTTATAACCCATGCTTGTCCTCCCATATGCTTTAGGTCACCTCCAGATAACTTGTAAAACCTAGTACAGTGTCATTATGCTAGAAATAGCTGTCATGGTATATTGTTCAGGGAATAATGACAAGAACATGCTTGTGCAATATCCAGAACAGGCACAATGCTTTCCCTAACATTTTGACCATTGATTACTAGAATATATCTGTGTGGAACACAGATACACAGTATTGCACACACACACACACACACACACACACACACACACACACACACACACATACATCACCTAACACTATTGAAAATACGCCTTTGGTTCTCAAAAAAGCATTATTCCTCTTTTCCCAAATGTCTTTAGTATCTATGAAAACAACACAGGCTAGCTGGAATTAAGCAACACAGGATAAAAAACCCACAAAGAAAGTGTGCCATCTGAAGTCCCTACTGCAGTTATGGGAGTTGATGAGTGAGTGTTCTGTTTTATATAAATCTCTCAGTGTGAACATGACTGTAAATTTCCATAGTCATATTGTACAAGCGATTCTGTCATTGACTTTCTTACTCAGAAAGATGTGTCATTTTCCCAAAACTATTAGTCTGTATCATATTTAATGGCTGCAAATAGTGATGGTGGTGGTGGTGGTGGTGGTGGTGGTGGTGGTGGTGGTGTGTGTGTGCTATCACTTACTTAACCCATCTTCATTTCTGCCTTTTCACTCTTATGAATAACTCACTGACTCAGAGATGAGCTGTGGGCCAGGAGCACAGAGGAACTGGTGTTGACAGCCTACTTTCCTCAGGCAGAAAGGAAGGAATTGCTCCACCCTTGGGGTGTCTAGCTAGCTGCTACTCTGAATTTTCACGACCTTAGGGAAATCACCATCCACAACAAAGAACCTTGTTAGGCATGTGATTTGTTTGTGTAAAAGGAATTCAGTCTGGAAGTTACTCATCTTGAAGGGAGCTTCACTGGAAAAGGGACTGTGTTTCTCAGGTTTTTTAGGGGGTGGTGGGGGGCGTGGGTGGTGGTGGAGGGGGGCGCTGCTGAAGGGTGCAGTTTGGGAAAGCTCCAAGGGTAACCTAACCACAGAGAGGACACCAGGTCATGGCCTCCTTCCCCACTGCATTCCACCCTGTACAGGTTACCTGGTGCATCATCCAGGACATGTGTTCCCTTCAGCGTGTCAGGATGGCTCTAGTGATGAAATGCGGGTCCCTATGTGACTCTTCTGTTGTAAACCAGATTGACAGGTGACAGGCTACAGTGAAGAAAGTCTTGGGTCACATTATTCCCACCTTTCAAGTTCTGCCTAGTGAACCTCTTAGCAAGCAAGCAAAAGGGGTTGACATATCTGTCTGTATCAGGGTGCAGTTCTCATAATGAGCCAAGTGGACAGCCTTTATCATTGTTACATTTTTTTTACTATTAAAAGAAGATACATATTAATGAGACCCTGTCAAAGAATCCAGACAGTGCTAATTGGACTCAATGAGTTATTACAAAAAATTAAAAATGTGGAATTGGGAGAAGATATATTGTACACAGGGCAGGAGGATTTGGGGGCAGATGGGGTTGATATAATCAAAATATGTTGTATACATGTATGAAATTCGCAAAGAATAAATAAATAACATTAAAATGAATCCCAAGCCAGGCAGCGGTGGCACACGCCTTTAATCCCAGCACTTGGGAGGCAGAGCCAGGAAGATCTCTGTGAGTTCGAGGCCAGCCTGGTCTACAGAGCAAGATCCAGGACAGGAACCAAAATTACATGGAGAAACCCTGTCTCTAAAAACCAAAACCAAACCAAACCAAACCAAACCAAACCAAACCAAACCAAACCAAAATAAAAAACAAAAAAAACAAAAACAAAAACAAAAAACAAAAAAACAAATCCCCAAAGGCTTCAGTCTAGCTCAAAATATCTAGCTCAAAAGACTTGGTAGCAAGTAGAGGCCCCAAGAAAGGAGGCTTCTTGGTGAGAGTTACATATTGTCAGAGAACTGGAGGGCCAGGGAATTGGTTTTTCTCAATTAAAAAATGTTCTAAAATGACCTATGTTGCCATAGCATTGATCTGCTGTTTCGGGTTCTACTGGAAGTTCTGAATCCCCTTGGGAGTGTGTTGTTGACACATTCGCCATCCAGAGTGTAGACAGAGTCTCTGCATAGGCAGAGGATTCTTCTCTAGCCAAAATGATTTCCCAACTGTCTCCTTAAAGTGGTGGGAGGAAAAAAAGCCCAGTTTGATAGCCCAAGCAGAGTGTCGGTGGTGGGAGGAAGTGAAGTTCTGTTTCCATGGGAACAGTAAAGAGTTCTCGAGTGGATTTAAAAAATAATAAGTTAAATGTGAGAACTGAGACCATCCATATCCACGTGGCTTAAGCACTGGGGTTAACCTGGTTTCACTAATTATTGCAGGAAATTCTGGCCAAGTGAGAGGGCTGTAAACCAAGAAGCAGGTTCAGGGTTGCTTCTCAGATCCGTGCAAGCTACTTATCTCAGCAAACTGATGTCTCCTCTGGACAAACAGCGGTCATGTAGAGAATTTCCTCAACAAATAGCTGACTTACCAAGACCAGGCTGCAGGCACTTCCCTTCTTCCTGTGCCAATACCAAATCTCAGACTTTGTATCACCCTGACTTGTTTCCCACCTTAAAAAAACTACCAAGAGCCCTTGTGTGTAGACCTGCAAATCCCAGGAAGTCTGTTAGTGACTTTCTTCTTCTGAGATTCTGAAGTCTATTAAGGTAGTATTAAAAAAAAAAAAACTTCCAGGATTAAAAAATATTATTATTATTATTACTAGTACTACCACTATTGTTATTGTGTACGTGAGTGGGCACGCACTCCTGACATAGTGCACATGCGGAAAAGGAAGGACAACTTTAGGGAACGAGTTTATTCCTTCCACTGGGTTCTAAGGACTGAGCTCAGGTTGTCAGCTTATAGTCCAAGTACTTTTCCCCACTGAGCCGCCACCTCATCACCTCAGTGAAAAGTTTAATTCCCCCAGTTGTGAGTAGCACCAATGAAGTAATAAGTTGGAGATGGTAAAAAAACAAAAAAACCTTTGCCATTTTGTGGCTGCCGCTTGGTCCACAGGATGATGTCAGTTGCTGTACAGAAGATTTTCATTTTCTTAAGGTCAGATTTATTAATTGATGATTTTAATGCCTAGTTAAGGGTGTTCTGTTCAGAAAATCTTTTCCTGTGAAGATGAGCTCAAGGATTTCCCCCCACATTGTCTGCAATAGTGATATATTATGTGACAAATAAAGCTTGCCTGAGGACCAAAGAACAGAGGCAGTCACTAGATAATAGAAAGAGAAGAGGAGGCTGTGGAAAACACTTTTAATCCTAGCACTCAGGAGGCGGAGATCCTTCGGCATCTCAGTGAGTTGAAAGCAACCCTGGATAAAAAAGGCACTTGTGCCAGGTGGTGGTGGTGGTGGCGGCGGCGGCGGCGGCGGCGGCGGCGGCGGCGCACGCCTTTAATCCCAGCACTCGGGAGGCAGAGCCAGGCGGATCTCTGTGAGTTCGAGGCCAGCCTGGACTACCAAGTGAGT